ACGCAACGCAACGCAACGCAACGCAACGCACACTCTGAGCGGGGGAACTCGTCGGTCGAGCCTTGGAGGGGAAAAAGGTGCAGGTGCAGGTGCAGGGCGTCTGAGCGTATCGGGGCGACGTGCAGCTCTCCTTGACTCTGCTGCTCTCCTTTTGCTTGCTCGGCAGCGGCTTCGGCGCGTCGACCGCTTCCCCCTCCTCAGAAGGGAGGGCGGAGGGACGGCGTGTGCGTTTTGCCTGTGCGCGAATTGCATGTTCGTGGCGTGCGAGTGTGCGTTCGGATTGGCCTTTCGGATTGGCCTTTCTGGGGCGCGTGTCTCAGAGCTCATTTCCCACCGCCGCCAGCAAGGCAGTCTGGGCGCAAGCGAGGTGTCGCCGCAAGATCTAACAATCAGCTGAAATAAAGCTGTTAGACTCTCGCCAATGCACCGCAATCAGAATTTCGCCCGTCAGGGTCCACTTGCTCTGCTTGCTCTGCGAAGAGGTGGAGCGAGGCGCACAGTTCACCCTCTTCATGCTCGCCCCACCATCTACTCGTTGCGCCGCACCGCCGTCATGCTCGCCGTATCCACACACGTCCACACCCCATAGCAAGCGCGTCCATGCCTGTCGAGGCTGCTCAGTTCCGGCGCGCACGCGACCATCCTCGCTGGCCGTCGCTCGTCGCCAGCACCGCCGCCTCCGCCTCCTCCCCGCTTCCAGCCGAACAACGGCAGCAACGGCGCAAGCACATCGCCCAACGGCTCGGCCTCGCTCTATGCCCACAATCCCACACCGACGATCACAACACCTCTTCTTCTCCGAGCGGCGCAGGGGGCTCTGCATTGGGCCCGAACTACAGCGCGCGCGAGGCGACACTGCGCAACGACTACGCGCAGCACTACGTCGACACGCACTCGCTGCCGTCGAATGCGGTGCGCAATCCGGACGCCTCGACGCGCTTCGACGAGTACCCCAAACTGAAGCGGCTGGTGGAGCTCAAAGATGCGCTCGTCACACGCGCTGCCCATCCACCCACTTTTCTACACGCCGATCTTCGTCCCTCGCTGCTGCCGTTTCGCGATCCACGCACTGTGGGCAAGTTTCACCTCGGCAGCCTCATCCCCATCAAGTACGACGTGGTGCTCATCGACCCGCCGCTCGAAGCGTATGCGTGGGAAGCCACGCCGACCGCATCCACGTGGACGTGGGGCGAAATCGCCGCTCTGCCAATCCCCAATCTCGCAGCCAAGGAGAGCTTTGTCTTTCTTTGGGTCGGCAGTGGCGCAGGCGATGGGCTGGAACGCGGTCGTGAGGTGCTGGCAAAATGGGGTTACCGAAGATGCGAGGATATCGTCTGCATCCGAACCAACGCCGATGGTGCCGAGGTGGAGGCGGGCAGCTCGGTGCTCACTCGGTCGGTGCAGCACTGTTTGATGGGCATCAGGGGTACCGTTCGACGCTCGACGGATGTGCGTTTTGTGCACTGCAACATCGACACGGACGTCATCCTCTCCCGTGAGCGGGATATGCAGGCTAAACCCCAAGAGCTGTATCAGCTCATCGAAAACTTCTGCCTGGGCACGAGGAGGTTGGAACTCTTTGGACGCAATCGCAACCTGCGTCGCGGTTGGCTTACCGTTGGACTTGAACTCGGACCCGATTCCCCACAATGGCCCACGAACGGCCTAGTACCACTGCCCATACCCGGTCTTGGAATGCTACAACAAGATGCGCATCAAGATGCGTCGCTATCGTCTCATCTTGAGCAGCTCACGTATGCGCAGGCCTATGACAAGGCGAGGTACGATAGTGCGTTTGGGGTGGATCGACCGGGCTGTGATCTGCGGGATCGCATCAACCTCGTGCCGTTCGACGACGCAGTCGAAGCGCTGCGTCCAAAGTCTCCACCTCCCCGCATCCGCACGCCTGCACACAGAGGCATGCCCAACGGCCTCAGCAACAACCCAGCCCTCCAAAACCCCCCGCCGCATCCTACACATCCACCACCCCGAACAGCACGAGGTGCCGGACTCTCAGGGCTCGGTGCAGGAGGTCGACGCACTGTCAGCGTCCCCAGCGGAAGCGACACCCTCAGCGGCCCCCAAGCAAGCGTCCTCAAAGCTAAATCTCTCAAACCTTCCTAAACCCCCCCAACCCTCATCTGCACCAATACGATCCAGACTTTGTCCGTGAAATTGCTGCATTGCAACACTGCGCGTGGAATTACGACCCGAGCGGACGTTCGAGTGTGAGTGCGATGCGGCGTTTCTTCTTGGGTGCCTCGTCCGCTCCCGTGTCCGCTCCCGCAGCTGATGGAATCGCCAATCCCAACCCCGCCCCGGACGCCACCGCTGGAGCCGATGTCGTCGCTGTCGCCGTACCGCCAATGGCGCTGGCATACGCCTCTGCCGCCGACCCCGCCGCCTGCACCGGCACCGACACCAGCTGTGCCGGACTCGTAATCTTGGGCGTGCTCGGCGCCGAGCCCGTCGTCTTTCCCTCGGCAATATGCGCCGGCGCAGGCACTCCCGGCGCAGGAGCCTTCAACGCCGGCTGTGCCGCAAACGCATACGGCACCCCCAACTCGGCATAGTCAAACACCACCACCGAACAGTACCCATCCGTCGACGACATCATGAGCGTCTGTCCGTCCGGCGACCAGCTCAGATCGGTAAAGCTGGCATAGTGCATGTTGCTGAAGCAGCAAATCGGCCCCGTCTGCTGCGTGTCGTAGATCCACACGCTGTCCTGCGTCGCCACCGCATACACCATGCGGTACGGCAGCCCAATCACGCTGATCCCGCGCGGCGGCGAACGCGCATCCTGCCGCGACACGGGCGGAGACGCCTTACCCGCGCCACTCACGCCGCTCGGCGGAGGCGAACCCGCCATCGCCGCCTCGGTGCGCAGCGACACCGTCTTCTGCTTGCCCGCCTCGAGCGGGATGGTCGGATGCGGCGCGATCCCCTCGTCGTCTCCGGCTGCTGCGCCCGAGCCGGCGCGCGGCGTGCGGCGCAGCTCATACAGAATCGGCGAAAAGCGCACCACCAGCGTCGCCGTCTTGTGGCCCGGCAGCACGGCGATGGGCGCATTGGAGCGCGTCAGGTTGCCGCGCGCATACAGGTACACGGCGCTCTTGTTCGCGCCGCCTGTCTGTGCACCCGCCGTCGGCGCCGGCTGAGCCCCTCCAGCAACCGTGGCGGGGTTGAGCGTCGCGGGGCTCTTCCGCGGCGACAGACTCACCGTGGGCGAAGCCGGCGGCGGCGGCGGGTCAAACAGTCCACTGGGCGTGACGAGCAGCCCACCATCCGGACTGAACGACAGACGCCGGAAGAAGCCGCTAAAGTTCTCGTCTCCATACAGCCGCATCGACGCCTTGGCGAGCGGACCACCCAGGCCGGAGGCCGCCGCGGCCTGCATGCGCTGCTTGGGCGACGGCGGTGCGCGGATGGCAGGCAGCGGCGGGATAGGCGAGGGCGATCGGATGCTGCGCGTGCGCGAGCCCGAGCGGCTGACGCTGCTGCCTCGGCGGCCGGCATCGCTGCTTGCCAAACCGGCAGGCACGGGCAGCATGTGGTCGTGAGCCGCCGCTGCCGCCGCCGCCGATGCCGCGGACGCCGCTGCGGGCTTGTAGCCATGCGAGCCGGCGAGCGACGAGGCAGGTG